ATAATGTATTTTATTCTACACGAGATTATCTGGTCTAAGGATTTTTCTGTGAAATTCTTGTAATGATATCCTTTGGGAAGGATTTTTTTCGCAAGCCCTCGTGATCAGGGATCGGAAAAAACTATAAAGATCTAATAGAATAGAAACGGATTTCAACATATATCCTAAAGAAAATACATCGCTAGCGGTACTTTCTTTCCCGGTAACGACTTCTGGTGCAAGATAACTTCTTTCACAACGTGGAATAAGTTTTCTTCCAAAGTAGCTTGCGATCTTTCGACTTTTACCAAAATCGATTAGAACTGGAAAGTATCCAGGAGAATCTCTTTCTTCTTCTAAAACAACATTGTTCGATTTAATATCGTTATGCAAAAAACCTTTGTGGTGAACATACTCGATTGCGTTACAAATCTTATCAAAAATGCATAGGCAGTCATCTTTTGAAAGAAGTTTCTTCTCTGCTGCTCGATATAGAGTCAAACTTTTAGAGTTCGTTCCATGAAACTGCAGAACTAAACATACAGGCAGTGTTTTTGTTATCATACCGAACAAAAGTGGAAGCCCCCTGTGATCACCCAAAGAATTGATTACGTGTCCTTCGTGTATCAACTCTTCCATAACCCGCTTGCTATCTCTGGTATTGTCCCTTGCCCTTCCTCGTTTAATGACCACCTTGATTCCTCGGTATTTTGCAAAGTAACAATCGCCATAGCTACCGCTCCCAATCAGCGTCGAATATTCAAGGAATTCTGGTCTGATTTCTTTGATTCCYGATGCCGTCTGTGTCTGCTTTTTACCAGAATCGAAACTCTCACTAGTACTTTTGAAAGTTGAAGTATTTAGCGTAGTTYTCTCCCTTTGAAGCTTTTGTTTCTTCGCTAAATTTACCATCACAGCCGCCCTGGATGCTTCCATTAATGACTTATCTGCCGCTATTTTCGTTACTTCATCTTCTTCTTTGCTTGGACTTTTGCTTTCTTTCGCCTCGTGACACTTTTGTATTTCCGATCTTTTCTTTTCGCGTTTCCTTTTCCTGTATCGTTTCTTCTGTTCTTTCTTTTCTTCTTTGGTATGGGGTCGACTTTTTGTAACTCGTTTTTCAGCGTTTTCTTCAGGATTCTTATCACATGCATGAGACTYCATTTCCAAAATGAGATCCCTTAGCCGGAAGTGRGTGAGCCGCACTATGTCATGTACGTCCTAACCTTATGAACTAAAAATAACTTTTGGGCGTACTTTCATTCTATAAAAAATGCACTATAATATTATTTCATATTCATAAGTTGAAGCATAGCTTTTCCTTTCTTCTTCTCTCTCTTTTTTTCTTATATTTTTTTATACACTTTTTTAAAAATTTTTTGGCCTTCAAGTTTTCGAGCCGCTGAATCACAATTCACTCGGCTTTACTGAATCTGGCTCGAAGTACGGACCATCACTGGATGTTTTGGTGTCCAACTTGCTTTTCAACGTTTCAAAATGGCTTCGTACCATACCATGTGTAAATGCTGTGACAGAAAGTTTAAAACTCTCTATTCCCTTCTTAAACATTACGAAATCAAACACCCAGATTCAGATCGAAACGAAACATATCACGAGTTTGTGGATGATGATGGTGTGGTTGTCCAGCACCCTAAACCTGGACCAGTATCAGGAGCTCAAGGTAGCGAAGGGTATCGCTTATGGATCTCTGGTCTGACAGAAAGGATAAAAGGAGCACTTCACCCCTGTTTGCCGGGTAAGGAAGAATTAAATAGAAATTTAAATTGTGAACTGACGCTTATAACGAGAAATTAATCTATATCTGTATTTGTTAGGAAAATGGTTCAAGATGGATTGCCCACAAGTTTTAAAGAAGTATTTTAACATCTTGTTAAGTCAAATGGGTTGCCCGCTTTACAGTGTTCGACAGGCTAAACATAGGCTTCCTTTATACTCACGTGCTACTCGCCGATTGTCTTACAAATTGTTCGACATAGAAAATTTTCTCGAGTTGTTCAACATAAACCGAAGAATTCTATTTTGTGGCGAGAATGAGATGGCTTACTCTACAGAAACACGGAGTGACGAATGCAGCGCTACAGAATTGCTTAAGGCAGCCGAGGAAAGGGGAAACACGGGTTATTCTCGGCGTATCCGCCCTACATCTAGGTCAGAGATAATCGTTGGCTTTGGCGAAGGACGGGCAACAAGAGAAGCTGAACTAATCTGGTGGCCCGATCTTTATGAATCTGATCATGGCAAATTAACAATTCGATTCTTCATTGAGAAGGTCAAGTTGTAGTTGAAAGTCGCGCGCGGTATCTTTAGAATGTTCTCATCTTGGTTTTGACATGATGTCATCAAAAAGTTAAAATCTAAACTAGAAACAACGATTTAGTCTCAGAAAAAAGTTTCGAGTCATTTCGATGTTTGGCCGCAGTTATAAGGACTGAATTTTTGTCACGCAATGCGGTAACGTTTATCTAAATATCGATGAAAATTCATGATCGAACAAAACAATGAAATTTTCTGAACAAGTAAGTCCGTATTATATACAGAGTCACTCTTAAGTAACACTTTTTTGAATATTACTAACTCCGTATATATCAATACACCTACTTGCAAAAACGTTGCCAAACGATATTAGAACATTTAAAGTAATTTAATGAGAAAGGCGTATCACAACGTTCTTGCAAGGACGTGTATACGCAGTGAGTTTTTCATGTTCGCAAAAACAGAAAAGTTTGACCTCGTATGATCGTATGTACTTATATAATTATTCAGAAACTAGGGTAAACTATTGTATACTAGTTTTCACATAATAACTGTTGTTTCCAGGAATTATTTGTAAGACACAAAATGAATTGTGTGCATCTTTATTTTTTGCAAACAATTGTTATACTCAACATAAGCAATGGCAAGAATCACAATCCAGCATAAAATGTTCAGTATCAATAGATCTTAACTCAACTTTTTTGTGTGGAAAATGGTAATACAACGCAAAAGAGCGCCAGCTGTTAATGATCTTTCCGATCGTTTTCCTAAATAAAGTTTTAACTTTGGAAATCAGCAGATAGTTAAATAAATGCTGAGCTTAATCGACATTACCTTTGAGTGTTTGCTTGCATGCTCAGGCAAATTGTTTCGCCTAGATTCAGATTGCTAACTAATGACACATTTGGTGTACTTAGTTTTTTTTTAAAGCTATGTACAAATTCCCATATTGAGTCTTTGGACCATCATGTGATGGCGGCCATGACAGGGGGCAAAATGATAGTCTTTCGCTCTAGGAGGCTGATATGTCATGTAAATTTGAATACACCTGATTCAATAATTGAATAGACCTCTTTAGCTTCGTATGCAAATCTCCCATTTCAGACCACATGTCATTCCCTTGAGAAACGTTTTCTTTGTTGAAATATTTACACATGAAAGAATCAACTCCCAAGAGTGGCATCACATGGTCTGAAATGGGTACAACAAACAACGAAGCTAAATAGGTCTATTGAATTGATCAATTATTGTTCCTGGACCCAATCATGGCTGTCATCATGTGGTGGTGCAAATTCGGTTTCTTAGAATAATGAGTTCTTTCATTATTTGCTCTCTCATTAAACTGCTGTTCTTGAATGTCCAAGAAATCTTAATGGTACCTTGATCCACTTGTTGAATGATGTCTCTTACTGCAAAAATTACCCCCACGCCGCAGCTAGACGAGCCTTCACCTTGTGATGGCTGAGTGGGCATTCCAAAGCGCACATACCTCGCACTTGTCCAGTCATGACTTATTAGTGCTTGACAATGTGGGTATGTCAACTTCAGTACTTCCATCAAGTTTCTAAGAACCGGGTAGAAGTTTCTTGGAGGCATTAAGTGAAGACCATCATCATAAAGTACTTTACCCTGTACCACATCTATATACAAAAGCCCCCAGTGAACATTGTCAACATGAATTGGGCACAGTACCTGCAAAACATTACTTGATCCAGGGCTTGGAAGGAATTGGGAAAGCTTGTTTTTCAGGAATTCAATCCCACAGGAAGCCCAGGTTGGTGTGTAGCTCGGTACGTATATAATAAGACCAGTGCTTGGCTTGTTAGCTTCAAGGAAAGTAAGAGAAGAAATGTCTATTGTATAGCCATCAATGTATCTCTCACAAGCCAGGTTACTAAAATCTGCAGCATCCATAATTAGATTGCCAACTTTTAAGAATTCCTCATTAGGTCTCATAGAAAGTAGCAAATCTTTAATTCTGTCATCCTTGAGCCATAACACCTCTGCATTGACTTTTTTTTGTATCTTAGCAGCCTTGCTAAAAGCTTCACAAACCTCCAGGCCATCGTAGTCAAACGTACCAAGAGCCCCTAAGGATACATAGAGGTTATTAGCCTTTGTCCCAGTCAAATTGCAGGGCCCTTGAATATCACGTAGCATTTTCATTGCAATCTGGACAACATTTTCTGAAGGACGATGGGATAACTGGAAAGGATCTTGTGCATTGCTGTTAGTTTTCACTATCTGGACTTGATTTCTAGGGATATACAATACCGCTGGAAGACTAGCACTGGCAAGCTGACCACGTGTTGCATGGGGTGCAATGCAAATAGACAAAGACCTAGTAGAAGAAGCAGGGCTTGCAAGTTTGGGAGTACTGGCTGGCAGGCTACTAGATGACCCAGGGCTGGCTGGCGGGCTACCGGATGACCCAGGGCTGGCTGGCGGGCTACTGGATGACCCAGGGCT